TTTTTTTTTTTTTTTTTTTTTAAGTGGTGATTTGGTTCACGTTGGTAAGCATAAACTTAATCATTTATGGATATTGTTTTTTTTAAATGTTCTTCTTAGGCTGATTTAACCCAATTTCTATCAAATTTTAAGTTAAATAACTCAATTAGACTAGAATAATACAGGTTAATTATTTAGAATTGAAAAGCAAATAGTTAGTTTGAACCATCTCTTATAACTATTTTTGAGTAGCAACGAAATAATTTATATTTAATTATACAAAATTATGTATAAACGTTTTTTTTTAAATTAACATTAAATCTAAATGCTTGAAAAAAAAAATTGTTAATAACAAATTACAAAATATGTTGACTGTAAACTATTTTTGACGTGTGAGTCAAGAGTTCTTTTCAGTACGTATAAGTAATACTTCTGTAATAGTATACTTATCATAAAATAGAATACATATGAAGTATACAATTTTATGTATACATTATTTCTTCACAATTTTGGTCGCTTGAAGTTAAGTATCAACAACAACTTAACCAAAAAATTTTAATAACATGACATTAGAATATACTTAATTCCATTTAAGGTACATAGTATTAAGTTATTTTGCTTGTAATATTATGTCTAAATTTGAAATCTATGCTAATACATCAAATCATATTACATCATTTCGTTATCAATGGACCACGTGGGCTTGGGAACCTTTAAGCTTTAAACCAATATAAATGCAAATATCTAAATTCTTCGACCTGCAGTTGTTGATTTAACAAGTCTATAACGGTAAAAACTGCGTAAAATAAGTATAATGAGTATTCTTCGGCTCAATTACTAACATTTTGTGCACACGTGCTCTCAGACAAATAACCCAACTAAATGGTAAACGCTCTTTAAATTAATTAGATCATTGTTTGTCTAGTTGCTGGCAAAGAAAACACGTTATTTGTCTTACTATGTTTTCTCGAAGATTTTTTATTTTATTTTTCTAGGAATTAAAACAAAAGCTCGGTATGACGGCGTCTGCTTTGAAGAATTCCATATTCTTCATCAACGTGGTCTAATGTAGGTAGTCCGAGGTCGTTTTTTTGCCATTAAAACTTACACATTTCATTATTCGTTTGGTTTTTATGCTATTATCAGTCAATGTATCTAACGAACCGCAGTTTTCTTATCTACCGATCTACTATAATAAATCAAAATTAAAAAACAACGTAATAATATGAACAATCGGTAGAATTAGATGTTTTTCCAATGTATGTAATGTGTCAAAGTACAAAGCTTTTGAGTCGTGATCACGTATTTTTCTTGTAATTACTTTTGAAGGCAATTTTAATTATATTTGGCTGTCCGTGTTTGCCGCGAACCGTTAATCGGCAATTATCTGGGAATCCGGTCTCTAAAAAACTGGATTAAACGTTAGCATCGGTCTTAATCATTATCTCTCAGTCGTCTACTAATTTCCCGTGCATTTTTAAGTAATGGCATAAACGGTTCTTTAACAATTTATCTTTCTGTTTTTCTTATTTGTTCTATAACCGTTCAACTGTTTGTTTAAAAACTTTTCATTAGCTGATGATATTTTTCGTTTTGGGTTTGTCAAAACCATAACGTCTTGATTATTCGCATCGATACTATTACGTAGCATTGCTTTTGTTGTGAAGTTTAGATTTTTCACAAAATCCAGTTTGAATAAATTTGTAAACAAATTTAATACAAACAAAATGTTACTTTGTACATGTGTTGCACACAAGTTTATATTCGAGCTATTGAAAATATTGTATAGTTATTTTTAATTGATTGGCTGGCTTTTGACACATAACTTTGTTAAAATATTACTTTTATTTTAACTATTATTACTATATCTTAAACGTATAAAGTTTGTTTTATCTATTTTGTGAGAACTAATCATTGTTATCGAAAATAATGTCTGTTCTACACCCAAAGAAAAATCTCAATCAATTTTGATAGAGAAATTTTATCAAGGGTTTATGATAATGTTTTATTAATACGAACAAAATAATTATTCTTGTAAATAATTATTGTTCCAAACAAGAAAAAAAATTATCATATTGATAAATATATCATAGATTCAATAGTAATGATATATTTATCAAATTGAACAATGAATTATTATATAGATCGAGATTTTTCTCTGGGTGCAGATTAGCAATACATCGTTTGTTGGTCAGATTTGACTGCCATAGCAACTCGTGTAATGCTACCCCAAAATTCGTGTTAATTGTAACATCCTGACATCAATGAGTTTTTTTTTTAGTTACATTGTTATGGCATGTTCCAGGTAACGATGGGGTTTATTTTCTACGTTCTAAGCGATTCATTCGACTTGCCCGAAAGTTTTTTTAAGTACTTCAATTTTGAGTTAAGTGAAAATAAAACCAGTAATTTTCTAAGGAGTGAAAGCCGACCACACGAGTTGCTTGTCTACGCCTTTGCTTAATTTGATGGCAGAATTTTAGCTTGCGAAGCGGTTAACATACGATTTTAATTCTCGCGCTCAGTTTCGCATAGCGTTTACACGGTAATATGTTTACTATTAATTTCCACTTAACCTCCTTGGCGGATGTGTGACCTCGTGACTTGAGTGTCTTC